TTCATCTCATACAACCGTTGAATTTAAAATTTTGCGTGGCGGTTTTGGTTGCTGAGTTGCGGTTCTTATACGCATGAGGGAGTAGAACCGAGCACAGTATCAAGGTGAGGATAAACATTCGTGTACATCAAGGCGATGAAAAAAGTGTAGATTCATGAGTGCACGGTTTACAACGCTCAACCAAGTCACTGAGTCTCACCATCAATTAGGACCTGCTCTAGCGGACTGCTACTACTGCCTGAATCTATGAACCTAGCCGTCGCACTGCTTGTACAGTTGCTTTAGCAGACTAGTGCGATTCGCCTGGACAGCAATGCTCAGACATCGACAGTTAATCTTTGTCCCGTTCCATAACAGCCAAATCTATCACGCAAGAGTACCAGACAAGCAATTTCAGTATCCACTTGACCGTTAACAAATAGCGGAATGTTCCGGGACACCATAGGTATCTTAAGCTGGCTAACACCAATGGGTTCTTCGTGCGTATCGACACTATCCGTTATACAACCGCCAGGTGAGATGTAGCTGCTTTATTAGCCATATTTATGGGCTTCTTCTTGTGGCTTCCCCGGATAGTATGGTTGGAACTGTACCAGACCAATTCCGTACCAACATTACACACTTCGGAGGTGCGAAATGCATGCCGAATTTAGCTACGTCTTTACTCAAACCATCCACAAATCTAAAGTTTTCTCCATGTATGAAGTGGTGCCACGTGTGGAGATGGTCTCGGTCATCCGTGTCAAGCTGAGGATAGGGTAAGTAAAGGAGCTGAACTTAATTGCATCTGAAAACACTGTTGTACCTTGCGTAGTTGATTTACCACAGCCTCAGCTGTTCCAGTGTGATTTTAAAGAAGTTTTGGATGGGTTTACCAGATCATCAAGCGCTTGGTGACCTGTGTCTGAAAGATAAGCAGCTACTGCACTGTAATAGTTTCGATTGTGTCAGTGTTCAGCTCTGTGCTCTTTGACTTTTTTGATGATCGCTTGTCAAACGTGAGCAATGAAAGTAGTGAACGATCAGGACTATCATGTCATGCTGACTAGATATATTTAATGGTAGTGTATGCTCCTCAGCGCACTGAAGCTGCATACCACCACCTGGTGTTCTCCGCATACACCGGAGTTTGAAAATGAAGAACAGATCTGTATTTTTCGATACTTCCATCAGGTCAGTACTGTAGACGAGTAAATGTGCCCACCCAGCGTAGCGTATTGATCGGTGGTGTGTTAGGAAAGTTGTAAGGTGGTTTGATGTTAGATGGTCAATCTATCTCATTTTGCGTATACTTTTGCTCGTGCTTTTTTATTTTTTATTGCACACATTTATGCGGTGCGCAGCAAACGGGGCGAACCCCTTAGTCACGAAGACCTGCTGCTCCGCGATGGAAACCGGTAACATAAACCCCGGGAGTTGGAGTGGCGAACCACCTTAGGCCCCGTTAGGTTAGGCGTGGTATTAAACCGGACGACAGCAAAGCTGTGTACCACCAAAGTTGAGTGGCGGGGCNAACCACGGACCACAGAATCAAAAGCATACCAGTGACTACACCACTGCGCCACCGGTATGTAGGGGGGAGACGACTGGATAATTGTCGGGGACGATTCAAGAACACTCCAGTTTGGCTATCAAAAAGAAACAGTAAGAATGCGACTACTGTCATTCCAGCCCTCACACACTGAACACAGGTCAAGAACTGACGAGAAAGGGAACATCTCAGGATATCTATAGGGTATCTTATGGTGAAAACAAAACTGGGAGATAGAGAATCCTATCCACAGATGAACTGACCAATACTGTGCTCGCAGAAGCTGTTTGCGAGAACCTTATCCCTGTCTCTACCTGAGACCAGTAATGACTATTGGACAGGCGGTGGTGGCCCGGTGGTAACGTCGCCAATTATCACCCCGGAGGATAAGTATTCGAATCCCACCATCATCGCCTGACTTTCCCCATTTGTGTATTGTATGGCAGCCCTTTGATTGGCCGCTTCCCCCTTCCTGAAAAATTGTATCTTTGTATATTCAATAAATGGAAGTAAAATGAAGAAGAAAGAAAGACTCATTAAGACCTAGTCCCTAAAAGCAGCCGTCATGATAGCTGTTCTAACACATTACCGGTCAATACTCTAATTTATGTTTTCATGTTTACTTGTGTACTTTACGGACCTGATGAAGAGTATTGAAAAAAAAAATGCTAATATGTTCTCCACTCTCAAATCTCTGTGACAGATCTATGAATGTATTCTTCGATCCCGGGTTTGAACACATATTTAGCATATCCAATCACTGTTGACGGGGACTCTTATGAGGCCACCACCTACTCGGAAGGAAACCGTGCAAGTATCCTGAATGGCGAAGGTACTCAGAACCGAGCACATCTCAGTTCACGTTAGCAACCCAATCGCAGCTTTTCGCAACAAGCCCTTATCCTGTTGTTGTCTTTGTAGTAGTAACCCGTTTTTATGCGTACATCTTAAATATGAGTAGTGCATTTAAATGAGGTGAAATGAACCATAGTGTGATGAATCGTGTGAAAGTTCATCCAAATTGTTTTATTTCCTTTCAACCATCTAGGCATGATGTGTACGTGTCCGTTAAACGGAGTAAGCTGACGCATACGACTATTGGTTGTGGTGGTTTCATACCTGAAACAGAAGATTTGCAAAGCAAAGCCCTTTCCCAAACTTTTGAAAAAGATGAGGAGCTGACAGATGAGGAATCTCGAGAACATGGACAACACAAAGTGCGACGTAAAAAGCGTCGTCAATTGGTCTCAGATCCAACCGATGAGCCGCCACCGGAAGAAATGGAGGAACAAATCCCACGAGCTCCGGATCAGGAGACACCCGTATGTGATCATTGTGGTCGCCGATTTGAAGCATCATTCCTACGCAAGCACTTTGATGTGGATGTGTGTGACAGCTGTCGGTGAGTTGAATTTTGGTTGACAGTCATATAGCTTTTACGTATTTTTGATATGCAACCTTAATTTCTCATGATTTTTGTTTATTTATAAACCCCAGTGATCCTAAAGGTATTCACACGCTTGTCACAAAATCAACCGCGAAGGATCGGTATCTCCTAAACGATGTAGATCTGGACGTACGTGAACCGAAATTGCGATTTATCCTGAAGAAAAACCCACATAACAGCTCCTGGGGTGACATGAGATTGTATTTAGAAGCACAGGCAAGTTGAACTATATCACTGTCTCGTTAAGTATGTCACATGTACGCTTGAAAAATGAATGTTTACTCATCCTACCAAGTCAAGATACTGCATAGTAATAAAAAGTACTACACGACTATTTTATCATTTTGTCGAGAATCTGCTACCGTACATTTTTTAATCAAGAATTCAGCGGTAAACACTCAAACCGTGACAAACTCGATGGCCATGCACACCTGTGTATAGCGCTTCCGCTACTTCTCAGTGAAACTTTATCATTCTGCGCTCGGTAACTTTCTCATCTCACTGGTGTATAGTTACTCGCCAAGCTTGATGAATCGATTGTCGATGTTTCCTTAGTAACGTGATTACACGAGATAATAAGCGAAAAAAATTCGCCAGGTGTATCGAGTATCCAATGTCATTAACGAAACGGTTCCCTAAAAGATTCGATTCTGAATTAGATAACGATATCCGATAAAAAATGCTTCTTTTTATTCTCTCTAGTCACAAAATTTTGAACAAAACATGATGTAGTGAACAAGGGTTCTTTTTAGCGATTCGTCTTCTTTGGCTAATACACCACAATTTATATAACTTGGCTAAAATACCGGAGAGCGAAGGCAATTATAAAAAGGATAGTAATAAATTATTAGACTGGCGTGGTGTCTTGCCTGGCTTTGACGAAGATTGGCAGGGTTGGCTGTAAGGCCATGGGAGACAATGTCTCCAAAACTTGCTTTTGCACACACGGGTGGATTATGCAAACGAATGTCCACTGCTTTCGCTACGGCCAGGATGCGATGTTTGGTCCGCTTAGATTGTTGTTCACAAATCTGATGGAGGAGGTGAAAAGCCCTGGTCAAGTTAACTAAATAACCTGACTCGACAAGGTGTAAACAGATTTCGCTCGTACTTGCCTTTGTCACCTCAGAGTGTAACCACACTGGAGGATACTCACGAACTTTGAGTCATACGTTGGCTCTTGTGATCGATCTACTTTGTTCCACAGAAACAAGTGAAAGAGGAAATTCACCTTTGGGCTGCAGCCTGAGGGTCCGTTGGGATATGACACGCAATTTCGCTTCACGGAATGTCTGACTGATCACAGTTGTTAGCATTCAAGAACTATCTCCGTCATAGTGTCACCTGTAAATGACAGTCATGTGTAAAGTTTGTTTTCCACTGCAACAACTTTTTCTTCATTTCTCTTGCGTTCTAATATGCTCCTCGCAAATCATGATTTGCCGCTTGCAAATTCGATCCTGTAAAAATCGATTTAGTATACCTTATTTTTGATTCGATTTTACGCGGATGAAAGTTCCAAGTGTTCACATATCTTAGATATGATCGTATCGATTGGTTGCATTTATGCGCATCGACTTCTAGGTCGCCGAACGGGCACTTTCCCTTTGGGGGAGTGAAGAAGCACTGGAAGCGGAACGCAAACGTCGAACCGAACGCATTGAGACATCCAAATTAAAACAGTACAACAAAAAGCTCAAAGGTATTTTTAACTGGTTTACAACTATTTAACTTTTAACGGCTGTTTCATCGATTCACGACTAATTTTTGGCCCAGAGATCTCTAGGACCGTCCATTGTGAAGTCCGTGAAAGCTTGTTCGCACACTGTTTTTGACACAACAACGATTGCTTATACACTTGACCTATTTGATTGTCTACCTTGACCTTGATGCACACTTCTGATGAATCGTCTACATCTATTGTCTATGTATTAGAATGACTGTTCATCAATCCAGCATGCATTTTGGGAGTCCAAGGTCGCAATTCTCGCTGACTTCTTTTTTGACATGAGAACCAAACACGTCTCACCGAATCCACTTAATCGGACAACGGGACAAGCAACACCAATGCGAGATGTTTACGTAATCGATGTCACGCACTACAGCAAGCATTTGCCGTTCTTAGAAGACAGTTCAGTTTAGTTTTTGCAACCATTAGCCCTGCACTTTCGTGCGCCGGTTTCGGTTGCTATCTTTTGGTGCCACATTTGGATAAAAAGCAGAATGAAGATTGGAATGTCGAAGCAAATTCAAGTGAAAAATGGAGAATTCATATAGAAGTGATAGAGGAATAGTGAGTGGATGCACGAACGCACTGTTTGCGACACCCAGGCATATCACTCAATGTCTCTAACCATTGCTGACCATCATCCCGAGGTCCCCAGCCAGGGAGCCTAACGGGGCCTATGTGACCTAGTCTCACCATCATCCCGAGGTCCCCAGCCAGGGAGCCTAACAAGACCTATGTGACCCAGTTTCCTGGTGAGGTCCCCAGCCAGGGAGCCTAACGGGGCCTATGTGACCTAGTCTCCTGGTTAGGGTTTCGCTTGACCACCCTTGACCCTCTTCCAACCGCTACTAGCCTTGGCAAACATCGCCCGCCGCTCCTTAGAAGATAATGAATAGGGTCTTACGCATGACACTAAACAGACTTATTTCGGGCGCGATGTTTGTCGAGACAGGAACTACTGAGAAGAAAGCTCAGGGAAGTCAATCTAAGTTTAACACTACAGAATGCTAAACTTCATCGAAGTTGTCACTTGCGTAGGTCCTATTACACTCTCTGGTTGATGACCTTGAGATTAGTCAGTGATTGTTCGAAACACTAGATATTACGGCTGTGGTCAACAGTGCCGCTCGTACATCTACTCCATTTCTGTGCCAAATTAATATTACTTCTTCGTGTATCTTTATCCTCGTACCACTCTCAACTTTCTTCTTGTTCTCTCCACTACTTCATCAATGTTCGATCATCCAAGACCACCCCACGAGAGCACAAGTGCTTGCGAGGGCTACACAATGGTTGCATAACTGGCGAATGTAATGAGCCAAAGCATATTCATTATGTTCTTGGCCTATCAATTCACAGACTGGAGTCGGTACGGTTGGGTGTACGGATTACAATGATTCACATTATTATCGCTGGATAAAGGTCCATCATCACGCAAAAGTACATGAATTCTAGCGAATCATAATATATTCCGGGGGGTAATACCCTCAGATGGACTGATGCTTGTTTAGTTCCACGAGCTAGTCCCACAATGTCCCCTATCGATGCATTCCTAATGATTACCCTCGTGTTTTCTTTTCGCCACATGACAGAGCTCAAAGTGCAAACGCGGAGCAGTTTGTACATGAAAACCACCAAGATGCATGAGCACACATTCGGCCCGGAAACGTATGACGCGGAACAAGATGTGTATACGAAAAGGTGCACACAATGTGAATATACCACCACATTTGAGAAACTCTAAAATCCTTTTGTGAACGGGTGCTGTTAAATCTGTACATTCTTGTATATTCATGCCTTTGATCACACTCCAATTGCCTTTTTATGCACGATGAGCTGGTCACATTACCCTCATGGTTCTTGTGTTGTTTCGTAAAATCGAGAATTATATCCTAACCGAATTTCAAGCCACTATACACTAACCATTACGTCCTTATCTGAACGCATTGGAAATACTATCCTGTATGGCTTACATCTTTGCTGAGAACCAAATACATTGACTCCGGAAACTGTCAGCAGTTCAGATAGGGACGAAAGTTCACCTCCGAAACGGAATTCCCCTAGCCCTATGCACCCCGCGACAGACGTATTGCACCCACCCTGGCATTTTAGATTATCTCCGTATATACACGCACTTAACAAAATCTAGAAGCACCTACATGAAAATCCGAAACTTCGGCAAAGTTCCTTCGAAAAACAATTTTCACTGCGGCAAAAGTATTATTATTACTTCCGAGACATCTCTTTTGGACGAAGGGAACCCATCAGTGTCGCGCTAAACTGAGTCGAAGGCATTTTTCCGTTCAAGGAGCACCGGGATCGCTGGTCGATGGTGAGTGCGAAGCAGCTCAAGGACCTGACGCATAGCAAAGATTTGATCCGTATATCCAAGAACAGGCCGCAAATCGGATTTCTGTTCACGATCGTTGGTCTCTCTTAATGGAGTCAGACGTCGAAATATGCTGGAGGATAACACTTTGGATCAAACCTCTCCCGCGACAGTTTGCGTCATCTTTGCGGGATCCGTGCTCAAAAATGGAGACGAAGTGATTCACCTCAATATGAAGGAAATGCGTTCTTGAAACCAAATATGATTACCGCGCACCATGAAGCGAAATGGAGCTTGTGCGGTCTCGCTGCTTCGCCTCGCTTCAGTGCTTGATTGCAAGATTAAAATTCTGCTTCTACCGGAGGATCGCACGACACTGCTCCTGAAGATGAGCTAATCTCGCTAACGCCAGGCCAGCTGAATTGTTCGCTGAGGTACCCTGCCCAGCGTTCAAGCAGTACTTCTCCTTTGTGAAGAGCTTGACCCCTTTTATCNCAGACTGTTTCACTAACTGAAGTTCGCCGACTTACCGTGTTGGGTATCGGTTGGCTCTTCCCTGAATCAGCTGCCCTTCCACTTCACTAACTATTATCCTCCACGCCCCGGTTATCGCGGTCCTTCTTAACGCTCTTTGTGAGCTGATGTTGCAGAGGCCACCCAAACCTGTTTTGATCCTGACTGGTCGTTTTCTTTTCCCCGTCAGAGCTGCTAACTCATGAGATGACACCGACGGGCTTGAGGCTTAGAACCACAAGCAACATTTGCTACGGAGTGGATTGCTCGACTAGTCTGATCGCACTGCTCATCCAGACCATCACGATTAAACGTGCTCACCTCACCTACTAGCTGACTCATATCATGCGCGCCCACACTTGTCTTCTTTAATATTTACTATGGCATGCAAAGTACCATCTCGCGCAATCGAAAATAAATGAAACAACCGCATTTCGCAAAATCATTCAACTTTAATGGAAATTCCCTTCGAGGAGTGAGTTTGAAGAAAGAAGACAAATGTCGCGAGATGTTAACATTTCGTTTAATCTTCTCAGTCATTGACTTAAAACAAACAGGTACATATATAGCACAGGGGATTAATCATTTTTGGTGAACAAGCATACAATGATTACTGAATTCAGAAGTAGAAGGTCAGCTCCAAGTTAAGTGGATTGCTTGTATCAAAAACTTCTGTGCACACAGGGCCGGGTGATGTAATTGAATAAGCAGTGCTTCACAAATCGCTAAAAGTTTGGCAGTTCGATTACATAATAGTGATTTGAAAGACGAACTGGGGTCAACTGTGTGTCTTGTTGCCATGAGATGTTTTGCAACAGATGATCCTGGATTTATTGCAATCACTTGGCCATCATTTGTCGGTTGCGTCATCGATTTCACCAACCACCTTAGAATATGTTCGGCTATCCGTTGTGACAGCTGACGGTTTGCTCTGCCTATGTATGCGTCACCGCGACTGCAGGTGAACTGGTATACAGTGTGTGACGAAACTGGTTTGCCAGCCATGTTTACGTTTGTCCAAATCGATTCCACGAGTGGAGGCAATGAGTCTGAGTAGAGCTCCTATTTCTAAATTCAGTGATCATTGTATGCTTGTACACGTTTCTTTACCAAAATTGATTAATCCTATGTGCTATATATGTACCTGTTTGTTTTAAGTCAATGACTGAGAAGATTAAACGAAATGTTAACATCTCGCGACATTTGTCTCCTTTCTGTTTTGATGAAAAAGTGAGTTTAGGAGATATTTAGAGGCGATTACACCCAGCAAAGAAACTTCAGTTTCAGTTTGAACAACCATTAACCATGCACTTTCGTGCGCCGGTTTTGGTTGCCCATTGGGATGAAGAATAGAAGAAGAAAGGAAAGTTGAATGTGGATTCGAAAGGAAAATGGAGAAGTTCAGTGGCTCAAGGTTGGGAAGAAATTGAGGAGATGCACGAACGCCACTGTTTACGGCACCCAGCCATATCGCTCAGTGTCTCTAACCATCGGTTACGGTCATCCCGAGATCCCCAGCCGGGGAGCTTAACAGGACCTATGTGACCCAGTTTCCTGGTTAGGGTTTTCATACCCTCGTGCCAGGTCTTAACTTGACCAACCTTCGTTTTTTTCCACTCGGTATCTACTTCGGCGAACATCGCTCGCCGTGGT